CCTTCTCTTTCCACCTTCCTTAATAATCATTCAACGAGACAGCCCCTTCCCCCAATCACCCACGTTTTGCCCGACCTGTGACCCCGCACTCCCCCACCCTCTCACATGGTGCATTCACCTTAAACCCTGGGTTCTGGCTCCTGAGCTTACCTTGGTCCACTCATACAGCTCGCAGTCGTAGCACTCGTCCATGACAAACTGCGGCACGTCGGCGCCGCGGAAGAGCCAGACGCCCTTGATGACAAACGGGCCGGCGTCCGGGCCCAGGATGCACATCTTGGCAAAGGCGTACTTGCGCGCGAGGTCCATGCGCTGCAGGAAGCCCGACACCTTGTTGAGCGTCACGAACCGCACCGTGTTCTCCTCGTTGTACTTGTAGTCGCAGAACCACAGCGAATAGCCTTCAGGGTCATACATGTCCCAGAAGCCTGGAGGGGGGGGGAGGTGGAAACGGGGAAAAACAGGGAGGAAACAGTGGGGAGAAGGGGAAAAAGAGGGGGAAGTGGGCGGGCGCAAGAGAGAGAGGGAGTAGGTGAGGAGAGTCCATGCGCTGCAGTAAGCCCGACACCTTGTTGAGCGTCACGAACCGCACCGTGTTCTCCTTGTTGTACTTGTAGTCGCAGAACCACAGCGAATAGCCCTCGGGATCAGACATGTCCCAGAAGCCTGGAGACGTGGTGGAGAAGATGGGGGATGGGGGTGTGTTGGGGGGAATGAGGGCGGTGGAGAGAGGGGTACAGGAAGGGGGGGAATGCAAAATGGAAATGCGTGCAGTGGGGGCGAATGGGCGAGTGAGCTGGACAACATGGCTCCCTCCTTCCTCATAAGAGCTGGTGCCGGAGTTCTTGGCTTCGGTAGTTTTGAAAAAATCAATAAATATCTCAAGTCTCTGGCCTTGGGTGTTCAATTAAAAGAAGCTACGCTTTAACAAGTCCATCGTTCCTTGCCCTCCCACCCACCCCTTCCCCCCTGTAGACGCAGAGTATCCCTATGCAGCCCTCATACCCCAGCTCTCATGCCTGCTAACCAGTCCCACCCTTTCTCCCAACTCCCAAACGCATTGGACCTTTCCTCAGCACTCACACTCAACCTTCAAAACCCTTCCTCTACAGCCCTTCTCACCCTTGATGGCGACTTCACGGAAGTCCTTGGCCTTGGTGTTGGAGTAGAGCCGCTTCCACGTGTCCATCACCCCCTGCTTCGCCCCCGCCCCCGCCCCCCCCCTCCTTTAACGCGTACCCTAGCAACACCCTTCCGCACCCGTGCCAATCCCCTCATTCTCACCCTTGATGGCGACTTCACGGAAGTCCTTGGCCTTGGTGTTGGAGTAGAGCCGCTTCCACGTGTCCATAACCATGGGGCTGGGCGGCAGCAGGTCCAGCGGGTTCTTCGCCTTGGGCTTCGGCGCCTCCGCCTCCTCGCCGTCAGCAGCGGCTGCTGCGGGCTGCGCAGGGGAAAGGGGGAAGGGGCAGGGGGGAACGGTAATGGGCAAAGGGGCGCAGGGAGCACGGAGCAGGGAGAATGAGGACGGGGAAGCAAGGAGCGGGGAGCAGGGGGCGAGGAGCGGGCTGAGCAGGTAGAACATGTTCTTCCCCTTGAGCTTCAGGGCCTCCGCTTCCTCCGCGACCATACTCACCCAGAAACCCCTTCCCTCCAGTCTATTTCCTTTCAGCTCCAACAGTGTACTCCCCCTCCCAAGCCACCCACTTCACTCCACTCCACCCCACACCACCCCCCCTTCACTCCAATCCCCCCAGTCCACCCCCCATCACCCCCCTTTACTCCAACCCCCCCCCACTCCACCCCCCATCACCCCCCTTTACTCCAACCCCCCCCCCCCCCCCACTCCACCCCACTCAAACCACATCAGCCATCCCCATCAGCCATCCCACCTTGGCGGCAGCAGCAGGGGCGGACTTGGGAGCAGCAGCGGCCTGGAGCTTCCCGATTGGCCCTTCCACCCACGTGGTCACCCCCGTGGGCTGCGCCTGCGCCTGCTGCACCTCCCCGATGACCTTCTTGACCTTGGGCTGGTTGATCAGCGTGTTCCAGAACCGGTCCACGTGGGGAAACTCCTTCATGAATTCGGGGGTAAACATCGTGATGTACCCGGTCCACAGCTGCGAAACGGCGACGATGTCGGCGAGGGTAACCCGATTACCGACGAGGAAGGTGTTCGACTCCAGGTGCGTGTTGAGAGACGCGAGGCCGCGTTTGCACGCCTCCTTCGCCTTGTCCTCCACCTGATAAGGAGCGGGGGAAAGAGGGGAAATTGCGGAGCAGGGGAAAACGGGGGAGAGGGGTGGTCGGGGCCGGGGGGGGGGGGGATGCGGAGAAGGGAACAAAGGGGAAGGGGGGGAACGGAAAGAGGGAGGAGAGTCAGTGCACGGTTTTTTAGCCTTAGACTCCACTTTTTGTGAGTTGGGGGTTGGGAAGGAGAGAAGTAAAGGGCGGGGGAAGAGTGGGAATGGGGACAACGCAATTGAGAGGATCGGACGAAGCATGGAAGTGGTGGCTCAATAGGAAAAAGCAAACGGCAGGAGGAAAGGAAGTCAGATGCAGAATATTCGGCGAAAGAAAGGCGGGAAAGGGGTCGAGAAAAAGCGCTAAAGGAGATACAAGCAAGGAGGGAAGCGGGAGAAGGAAAGGCGGACGGGCGAGATTGACTCCAAAATCTTGGTGCGTTAGCATTAGCGGCAGAATCAGGCTCTCAAGGCGTATCAAAACCATACCTCCTGGATCTTAGTGCCGTACCCGTAGAAAAGGGTAGACTAGGATTTGAGGCCAAGAGAAGGCGGAAGGTCGAAACAGTACCTCCTGGTTCTTGGTTCCGTAGCCGTAGTAGGGGGCGAACCACCTCCAAAGGTGCGAGTCGATCTCGTTGGTTGTGAAGTCGATCCATTGGTCGATCAAAGCCTGTTCACGATGTAAACGAAGAGTTGGAAAAATAAATAAGCTACAAACGAAACCAATGATAAACAAAAAAGAGAGCGCACGCGAAACCTTCCAGTAATGAAACGGGGGCAATTCAACGATCATAAGAAGGGTGGGGAGGAAATACGCAGAGACGAAAATAAAAACACCCGCTTTACGAACAATAAATGAAGGGTGTACCCTAGAATGCTACAATTAAGGAAGCTCTTACTGTTTCATAGACCGAGGTGCCCGTGAGGCCGGCTTTATCGGACGACTTGCCGACTGCACCCAGAAAAAAGGAAGAGTCATTACTGAATGCCTCAGATACAACATAAATATATCACCCATAGTGACAGAGAATTAGGGAACCCCTAAGGAATCAAGAACTAGGACTCCTTACCGTATTTGGCAATGGCGTTGCTCTCGAAGATGGGACCGTCGGGGGTCTGCAAAACTGGCACCTATATGGTGGGGAGGACAGGATGATAAAAGGGATCGAGCTAACAGATGTCTTACAGCCTTCTGACACCTGATCGGACAAGATTGGAAAAGATCGGATAAGATCGGACCGGATTGGAGGTCGGCAACCCTAGGACAGGATCGGACAAGATCGGACGGTGGCAAGGTTGAGAAGTGAAGCAGGATACCGAGAAATGCCGGGATATACCGAGGAATGGATCAGGATAGGAGGAGAAAGGGGAAGGAGGGAGAGAGGGGCGGGTTGGATGGGGGGAGGGGGAAGGGTGGAGGAGTGGAGCAGATCAGGAGAGGCAACTAGAGGACAGCGACAGGGATATAAAAGAACAGTATAAATTCTTAACGAAGGCTGAACTTTGCGTAAATTGCTAGAGTGAATTCCATGTGGATGTTGACGAATGGAGCAGGCTACCAGAACACGGATCTGTGTTATTAAACAACTAGACAACATACCTTGCCGATGGGGTTCCAGGCGAGGAACTCCTTGGTCTTGTTGGTCTTGCCGAACTCGAACGCGGGGACCTCGACCTTGGCCCCGGTATACTCCGCCGCGATCAATGCCTTGTAGGCATTTCTGTTGTGCGAGAACGTGTACAGCTTCTGTAGAGTGAAAATAGAACAGAGTAAAACGAGGCAGGAATGAGGGTAAGGAAGTTGCGAATCGACGGAAGCACAATGACCGATCCGCTACCACTAGAACGATGACTTTCGGGGATGTAGATTAACTACCGGGTGGAGAACTAACGGAAATGGCTGAAGCAACTGGCTGATCGAATCAACTGAAAAATGCTGATCACAGGAGAAAAAAAAAAGCATGCTCGAAGTCAAGTTACGTACGAGAGGGGCCATTGGAACGAGTCACAGCACGAGACTGCGAATCCAAGGAAACCAACGCAAGGGAGAAAAAGCCTTGCAGAAGGAGCGATCAGGAAGGGACGCTAAGAACAGGTCACTAGTTAGTCCCTGCTAAGAGGGATTGAGAAGAAAGGAAGAATTTAGGAGAAACCAGGGACGTAAGTAGGGAAGTAGGGGTTAGGCGGAAGGGGAAGGGACAGCGGGAGCAGGCGGAGGGAGGTGTGGGTGATAGGGGGAAAGTTGGCGGAAGGTGGCGCGTGGAATCAAAGGTCACGGGGAAGCATGGAACTGGGGGGGGAAGTTCGGTTCGGGGATGAGCATCTATCTGTGGGTGGCCTTTCCAGACCAGAGAGGTTTGGCGGGAAGCTCCGCGGAGAGCCCTTAGATCGCGTGGGCTCTGCTCGCTGGTTTCAGGGTTTTCGTGCAGTGCAAGACGTGTCTGAATGCTGCAGTGGCGATTTGCGGAGAAGCTCGGCGAATCTTCGCCAACGCCGCGTCATTGACTTCGGGATTCCCTGACAGTTACACCACAGATGCAATTGTACAGGTTTGAGAAAATGTACAGTGCACACTTCAGATACTCTTCACTGACTGCCTCTTTCCAAGAGCTCTCATCCGCTATAATCCAACATATCATATTCCTGTCCCAAGCCTGCAATTTTGGAGATTTGGTTGTACATAATGGCTGCCTACAACTAGTCTATGAAAAGACTCCCGTTCTCCTACCATTAAAAAACTACAATGATGCTGGCTTATTTTGCCCCAAACTTGGGGTACGACTCCTTCAGTGTAACAGTGCGATTAAAGACCAGGCTAGTGTCCGTGGAATCAGTGTCGACGCAGAAATAGCCTGCGAGAAGAAAAGTGGACACATCGATGAGAAGACATTCATCAAATGAGCGTGTCATACCCAAGGCAAAAACTTGCAAAAGAGACAATTCTTTCCAAAAAAACTTCCTGCACCCTCCTCCCCCCTCCCCTCCTCCCCCCCTCTTCTCTTTTTACGTACCAAGCCTCTCGAACTGGAAGGTGCTGCCAGCAGGCTTCCCTGCCAGCGACGGCTCTGCCAGCGCCCCCTGAATCTCCTCCATGGACTCGGGGTTCAGGTCCCCCAGCCAGTCCTCCAGCTCGTTCGGGTTCTGAACAGAAGGGAAGGGGGGTGGCAACAGGGATCCAGAGCAGAACGATGGGTAGGGGGGAAAAGCGGAGGGCTCTGCCAGCGCTCCCTGAATCTCCTCCATTGACTCAGGGTTCAGGTCCCCAAGCCAGTCCTCCAGCTCATTGGGGTTCTGCACAGTAGGGGAGGTGGTAAAAGGAGAGAGAAAGGATTGGGTTTGGAGCAAGGGAAGGCTCTGCCAGCGCTCCCTGAATCTCTTCCATGGGTTCGCAGTTCAGGTCCCCCAGCCAGTCGTCCATCTCGTTGTGGTCCAGTCAGGAAGGACATGGAACAGAGAGAGTGGTGACTTTGAAGTGCAAGAACAGAGGGAATGGGGAGAACCGGAGAACAGTAACCTCAGAAAAACGCATACCTCCAAGACAACCACACCTTAGAGAACAGCGAACCTTCCAGAAACCATACCTCGGAAAAAAACATACCTTGAAATTGACAAGAATTCCAGGCCAGCATACCTCGGAGAGGAAGAGCTTGTTGATTAGGCGAATTGTGACTGTAAGGGGGGCTTGGCCGGGCTGGGGCTCTGCCACCCAATGGATCACACCCTGTGTGCGGTAGAGAGGGGGATGGGAGACGGTGGAGGGGAGGGAAAAGGGAAGAAGGCACTTTTGAGTCGCATCAAATTTGGCCGGGCTGGGGCTCTGCCACCCAATGGATTACACCCTGTGCGCGGTGGAAAGAAGGGGAGGGGAATCAGTGGAAGGGGTTTAAGACGTTGCCACTCGAAATAGCCCCATGTGCGTGCAGAGAGGGGGGAGTTGTGGGGGATGGGAGGAGGGCGAAGTGGATCGGAAATACGAAGGGGGGGAAAAGGTTCAACATGGTGCCACCCAAAGAGCCACACCATGTGGCAGACACATGAGAGGTGGGGGAGAAGGGGAAGGGAAGGAAGGAAATGTAGATGGGAAATGAGGAGGTGAGAGGAGACAGAGACAACCGAAGTCCCAAACCGAACGGAGAGCAGAGAAGATGCGGATTGCACCCTCTGTGCAGCACAGAATGGCTAGCGCCACCGAACTGCTGTCCCTTAGTTTAAAGAAGTGTTTTGAGACATCTCAAAACCCTTCTTCAAACACCTCTGTGCAGCACAGAATGGCTTGCGCCAGCACAGCGCCACCGAACTGCTGACCCTATGAATCCTCGCCTTAAGCTTGCTGCTCCTGGCCCGGTCATACTCGGCCTGAGTTGAGGCACTCAGCATCGGACACACTTGGGCCGGACCGCAAAGGCGAGCTGATGGGCGTTTTGAGGTCACTGGCCTCAAAAGTCACTCAATAGTCAAGGTGAGAGACCTGAAAGGTGTTCCATCCATTGGCCTCTCGCCTTGGCCTTGCCTTTCTCACCTTGGGTTTGGTGCTCTTGGCCCGGTCACACTCCGCCCTCAGCTCCTTCACAGTCATGCCATCCTCCGCATAGATGACCTCGGTACACTTTATAGGGTACGCGTACCTGCCAGGCACAGGAACGAGGATAAGAGGAACATCAACCGAGCATGACCGACTTTGTTGGGTGCAAGGCCGTAACAGCCCCTCATGTCCTTCACTCGGAAGTTGACTTTTGAGTCGACTCAAAAGTCAACTCTGACAGGCACAGGCAACGAGGATTAGAGGAACATCAACTGAGCATGACCATCTTGTTGGGTGCAAGGCCGTCCGTAACAGCCCCTCGTGTCCTTCACTCGGAAGTCAGACTGCTGCTCGTCCCACCCACAGCACCACACACAGCTCAACAGTGTAACCACGAGCCGCACCTGAGCATGACAGATTTGTTGGGTGCGAGACCGTAATAGTCCTTGCTGTCCTTCACTCGGAAGTCAGACTGCTCTATGTAGACCACTCGGGAGAAGGGCAGCTGCAGAGACAGGTGCGGTGTGAAAAATGGGGAAAAGGCATGGGGGGAATGGGTTGGGGTGTGGGAAAAAGTAAGGCCATAATAGTCCTTGCTGCCCTTCCCTCGTAAGTCAGACTGCTCTATGTAGACCACTTGGGAGAAGGGCAGTTGAGGAGGCAGGAAGAGGGAGGCAAGAAGGTAGAAAGATGGGGCAAAATGGCGGGGCGGAAAAGGGCAGTTATGATGGCTATCTATGGACAAGGGCAGCAAAAAGGGTGGAGGAATGGGTCTGGAGGAAACGACTGATGCAGTTTCAAACTCCTCGATTGACTGTACAAGCGCGGATGGGGAGGAGGGGAAAGGGGGATGGACGATGGGGAATGAAGAGGGGGACAAGGATGGCTTAAGTGTGTTTGACTGAACAAATTCTTGAGACATTTCAATCTGCACCTCTCACCTTATATGTCGCTTCTGGGTCGCCCTCCTTAGCATCGGGCCATCGCTTGCCCTCCACCATCTCCACCTCCTTCTCCCCCACGTTTGTAATCACCACCTTGAGTGGCCTCATTCAAACTCAGTCCCCAGAGGACCAATATCAAGGTGATTCGACCCACACCAAGGCCAGCGCAAACCCAACCTGAATGCCTCACCTTGTATGTTGCCTCTGGGTCTCCCTCCTTAGCGTCGGGCCATCGCTTACCCTCCACCATCTCCACCTCCTTCTCCCCCACGTTTGTAATCACCACCTTCAGTGGCTTCAGCACCACGAGCGAGCGCGGTGCATTGCGGTTCAGATGGTCGCGCATGAAGTGCTCTAGCAGCTCCACTCGGATCACATTCTCACTGGGACACGGAACGAAGCGGTGCAGAGGGGTATACAGGGGTACAGGAGAGTTGACAAGGGCCTAGGAGGTCGTCCTGAAGGTGCAATGCGGTTCAGATATTCTCTCACAAAATCTGGCAGACAGGTTTCCTCTAATCAGTTTCTTGCTGCGATCAAACGGTGCAAAAGACATCTAAAACATGACTACAGTGGGCTGTCACACTCATTCCCCCCCTGCCCTCAGCTCAACTCACTTTCTCGTGATGCCCACGGCTCGGCAGAATGCGTTGATGGCAGCGGGGTGGGCGCCCCTCCTCCGCAGCCCTGACAGCGTCATGAGTCGTGGGTCGTCCCACCCGTTCACATGATGATCCGTCACCAGCCGGTTCAGCTGGAAGGGAGAAGCGGTGGGGTTGGGGATAAGCAAGGGGCACGAAGGGCCGAGAAGGGGTTTGATGGGGTGAGAAGGGGTGAGAGAAGGGTTGGGACGTCGTGGAATCAAGGGGGTAGAGCAAAGTGGGCGTCCCTCCTCCGCAACCCTGAGAGGGTCACGAGGCGTGGGTCGTCCCACCCGTTCACATGATGATCTGTCACCAGCCGGTTCAGCTGGAGGGACAGGCCAGGGGTGGGGAGGGGAATGCGGGGCAGCACATGAGGAGAACGGGTACGGGTTGCAGCGTACTCAGCCCTGAGAGGGTCATGAGGCGCGGGTCGTCCCACCCGTTCACATGATACTCTGTTAACGCTCGTGAAGTGAGAGAAGAGGATGAGGAGAGAAGAGGGGAGAAGGGGGGGTGGGAAGGGGGGGATGAAAGGGAGCAGGGGTGAAAAGCACTTCCTTGTCGTCTCAGCCCTGAAAGAGACAAAACGCAAATATTCCCACAAACAGTGACATCTGAGGCGCATACGCCCCTCACCTACCCAACACACACCTTGCGCTTGAAGAGCCTTATCCATCACAAGGTGGGTTGATTTTGAGAATTCTCAAAATCAACCTCAAACAAAATCGCATACGCCCCTACCTACCTTGCGCACACACACCTTGCGCTTGAAGAGCCTTATCCATCACAAGGTGGGTCAACAGCCACATGTATGGGTGATGGCCGTTATGTTGAGGGCGAGCATACCCCCACACGTATGGGTGGTACAGCCCCAATTAAGCTGCATGTGCATGCCTGACTGCTTGCACGAATGCCCATATTGACAAGGCATATTCATTCATTCAACACACCTTACTCTTTGACAGCATGGTGTGGGTGATGTTGAGGCGGGCTTACTCCCACACATACGGATGGTACAGACCCAACGCCTCCAGCAACCAACAGTCAAGTAAGCCGAGCATAACCCCCTCTTTTTATTGAAACTGAGCCACATACTCCCATACTTCACTCGCACCTTCCGTTTGGAAAGCATGGTGTGGGTGATGTTAAGGCGCGCATACTCCCACACGTACGGATGGTACAGACCCAACGCCTCCAGCAGCCAGTAGTAGGATGCCCTCCGCGTCTCAAACTCCAACGTGCACAGCTGCAGAGGGGTTGCAGATCAGACCAGATCAGAGACGTGCGCAGGCACAGGGGATGAGTGTGAACATCAGCAGTCATCCCACACGCCTACAGCAGCCAGTAGTGGGACACCCTCCGTGTCTCAAACTCCAACGTGCACAGCTGCAGACGAGTGGACACATGCATGCACACGCACAACTGGCAGACACATACAGACAGAAAGGGCAAGATGGGGCAGATGGGGTAGATGGAGCTCGGGTAGATAAAGCGGATGGGAAAGATGGGTAGATGGATCGGGCATGTGGCACTAGGTCTGGCTGTTACCACAAGCGGGAATAGTTTGAGGGGTTGTGGGTGCGTCTTTTGAGTCGACTCAAAATTCACCTTAGTTTGAGGGGTTGTGGGTGTGTCCACAAACAGCATGATGAGAGTTCTCAAAACGGAAAGGCAATGTGGGCTCACAGAGTGTGTGATGTTCTCGAGTGAGTCGATGATGCAGTGTGTGTAGTCGTAGTGTAGCTAGGGTAGACAGCTGGGGCGGATGCACGTGCATGTGCTTATGGCAACATGGTTTGAGGTCTTAGCTGTGAAGGCCTTACAGAGTGTGTGATGTTCTCGAGTGAGTCGATGATGCAGTGTGTGTAATCGTAGCTGGGGTAGATGCAGTCTGGATCGATGCATGTGGCACTAGATGTGGGTACGGGCAAAATGGTGTGAATGAAGTGCAGGCACGGCAACGTGAGCTCACAGAGTGTGTGATGTTCTCGAGTGAGTCGATGATGCAGTGCGTGTAGTCGTAGCTGGGGTAGATGCACCACTTGTCTCCCACGTGTGGGTGTGAGGTGAACTGTCATGGGGAATCGGATATGGGGCATCGGGCATGGGATATGGGGAGTGGAGCATGGGGCATAGGGCATGGGGCACGGGGCATGGGGCAGGGGGCAGGGGGCATGGGTATGAGTCGATGATGCAGTGTGTGTAGTCGTAGCTGGGGTAGATGCACCACTTGTCTCCCACGTGCGGGTGCGGGGTGAACTGCCATGGGGAATGGGGCACGGAGCAAACGGCAAGGGGCATGGGGATGGGTCGATGATGCAGTGAATGCAGTCGTAGTTGGGGTAAATGCACCACTTGTCGCCTGCGGGGTGAACTGCAGGGGTTTTTCGGGCATGGAGGATGGCCCACGTGTAGAGAGTGTATTTTTGAGACATCTAAAAAATACACTTTCTACATGTGTGAACTGCAGGGGTTTGTAGGGCATGGAGCACGGGGCACGGGGCATGGGGCATGGGGCACGGGGCACGGGGCATGGGGCACGGGGCACGGGGCACGGGGCATGGGGCACGGGGCATGGGGCATGGGGCATGGGGCATGGGGCAGCAGAGCGAGTGGTAGCCTTGTACCCACGTGCTGCCCCATGCTGTAGGCCATGGCTGTGCTCGAATGCTGCTGTCTGCTCCCCTGCAGCAGGGCTACATGGCCTACAGCATGGCCCTGTAGCCTTGTACCCACGTGCTGCCCCATGCTGTAGGCCATGGCTGTGCTCGAATGCTGCTGGCTGTAGCACCCTTCGCAAAGAGATTTCCAGGCACCCACGTACCCAGGAGATGATGCCTCACTCACCTTGATGCGATAAGCAATGAGGTCCCACATGTTGGGGTTCTCGTTTCTCATATCCTGCTTCATCCTCAGCGTAGCCGCCCCTTCCTCCACCAGCCCTCACCACCCCTTACCAACACACCCCCTCACCCACCATGCACGCACTGACTCACCTTGATGCGATAAGCAATGAGGTCCCACATGTTGGGGTTCTCGTTTCTCATATCCTGCTTCATCCTCAGCGTAGCCGCCCCTTCCTCCACCAACCCTCTCCTCATGTCCTCAAACAGCTTGAGCGACTCCTCCACAGGCCTGTTTCTCCACGGGCTCTCCAGGTGCTTCTCGCGGTACTGCTTGATTTCCTCAGCTGTCTGGTGGTCCACGTATGCATGGCCGGATTTGATGAGCTGCACTGCCAGGTCGTAGAGCTCCTGGAAGTAGTCGCTGCTGTAGGTGATCTGGTGGGGAGGGGGGAAGGGATAGGGGCAGAAGGGAGAGCGGTACAGGAGCGTGAGAGGAGCAGGGGGTAGCACACACAGACACTGACTTGATCAGCTGCACTGCCAGGTCGTAGAGTTCCTGAAAGTAGTCACTGCTGTAGGTGATCTGGGAGCGGGAAGGCAATAGGGGCACAGGGGGAAAGGGGGGAGATGGAGAAGGGGGGAAACGGGGAGCGATGAGACTGATCAATCGAGCGGCACTGCCAGGTCGTAAAGTTCCTGGAAGTAGTCCCTGCTGTAGGCGATAATTGAGGCGCCTCAAAAGGCGATTTCTGCGGCGCCTCAAAATCAATCGAGCGGCACTGCCAGGTCGTAAAGCTCCTGGAAGTAGTTGCTGCTGTAGGTGATCTGGAGGACAGAAGAGTGAGGGGAGGAGAAGGGAGGGAGGGGAGAGGGAAACCTGCCCTTGACGAGCTGCTTTTGCACGTGAGGTTAAGGGGGGGGAGGGGGAATGGGTGGGTGGAGGTTGTGGGGTAATACGAATCAGAATCTGTTCCTACCTGCAACTCACTCACGGTACACACGTCTTGCACGCACCTTGTAGGGCTTCCACCCCAGCCATGAGACTATCTCTTCAAATTGGTCTATGTACTCCTACTCCTACTCCTACTCCTCTCCCTTCCACACATTCTGTGCACTTGTGTTCACAAGCTGTTGTGAACCAAATCAAGCTCTCACCTTGAACGGTTTCCACCCCAGCCAAGAAACTATCTCCTCAATGTGATCGATGTACTCCTGCTTCTCCGCCTCTGGGTTGGTGTCATCATACCTGGGGGATGACGAATGAGAGGGGAGAGCAGCGTGTGGGGTGGGAAAGGCAGAGGAAGGGTCAAGAGGAGGGGTCAAAAGAAGGGTTGAGAGGAGGGGGGGCTCAAGCCTCAATGTGATCGATGTAACTCCTGCTTCTCCGCCTCTGGATTGGTGTCATCGTACCTTGGGGGTGAAGAGTGAGAGGAGAGAGCGGAGCAGAGGGTGCGGAAGAGCAGAGAACGACGGAAGAGAGAAGCAGGAGTACAAAGCGGTTTTCTCCACTTAGGAAAACACGAGCATGGAAACGACAAAACAGAGGAGAGCGGGAAAAGGCATATGTCTTCATGGCGAGAGCACTCACCGCAGGTAGCAGTTGCCGTTTCTCTCCTTAGCAAGGCCAAAGTCCACATACATGGCCTGGGGAGAACAGGGATGGGGACACATGGAAGAGAGAACACTGATATGAATTTACCTAGCCGTAGGGCTCGGGGAGAAAGCGCGACCACACCTTGCCCCCATGACTCAAACACTTTCTATGCAGCATCTGATCTCTAAGGGGCCTGAGAACGTATCTGCCACGCACCCAGGGAACCGTGCTTTCACCTTGGCATGCCCGATGTGCAGGTAGCCGTTGGGTTTGGGGGGAAAGCGCGACCACACCTTCCCCTCCATGATTACAACACTTTCTATCCAGCATCTGATCTCTAAGGCGCCTGAGAACGTATCTGCCATGCCACGCACCCAGAGAACCTTGTATTCACCTTGGCATGCCCGATGTGCAGATAGCCGTTGGGCTCGGGAGGAAAGCGCGACCACACCTTTCCCCCCGTCACTGCCAGATGCTTCTCGAGGGCCTCGCGGCTGTTCTTGGGGCGCCATGTGGTGCTGTCACTGAAGAAGATCTCCGTGTGCACCTGCGAGAGGGGGGGCGGGGGGGGGGGGTGTTGAAAGGTAGAAAGGGAAGTGTGAGGGATTGACTGCCAGGTGCTTCTCAAGTGCCTCACGGCTGTTCTTGGGAAGCCACGCAGTGCTGTCACTGAAGAATATTTCCGTGTGCACCTGAGAGAGGGGGAAGGGAGGGGAAAGGGAGGGGAGTTGGGGTTGGGTGGATGTGAAATACGTGGAGGGGAGGACAGACTGGGGCTTTTCCTCTATTGTGTATGCATCCTACCAGATGGTCTGGAGAAACGTGAAAGAAGGGTGGTTTTGAGACGTCTCAATACCACCCTTCTCCTGTCCTGTGAAAGCATCCTCCCGGATGCTCTGGAGACGCTATGCAGTGCCGTTGCTGCGAACCATCTCCTTCTGAGCCGCCTCAAGGGGATTCTTTCCGTGCGCACCTGAGAGGCCAACGGAATGAGGACAGGAGGAAGGGGGGTTGCGGGGGGCGGGGAGGGGAGGAGCGGGCAGTGACTATAGAGCTAACCTTAACGTGAACTTTGAAGGATTGTACGGGCTGGGAAGGGTGAAGGGGATGAAAGATTGAGGAGGAGGACAAGGTCGCAAGCCTGCCCCAAGCTGGCCCAAAGCTGGCCTCAAGCTACGTGTCATGCACCTTGTTGTTGGATTGTGGCAGCGAGTGTGCTCACCTTGTTGTTTTCCTGCGGGTTGGGGAAGATAGCATATGGATCCGACTCCTCCCCTCCATCCACTCCCACTGCTGCCCCTGCTGCTATCGACGAGACTTGAGTGGACTCAAATGTTCAGGGAGTGAGATGATCGCACCTTGTTGTTATCCTGCGGGTTGGGGAAGATAGCATACGGGTCTGACTCCTCCGCTCCATCCACCCCCACTGCCAACCCTGCTGCTCCCGCTGCCCCCGCTGCTCCTGCTGTGCCTGCTGCTTTGTCGCCTGCCTCTCCCCCGGCGGAGTCGTCCCCCTTGGGTTTCTTCTCCTTCTTCTTCTTGGCGGGTTTGGCCTCGTCCGCCTCTGTCTTTGGCCCCAGCACCGCCAACACCTGTGCATCCACCTCCTCCTGCTCGCACAGACAATGGGCATGGGCGTGACATTTGAGTGGACTCGAAAACAACAGCAGCAGCAGCAGCAGCAGCAGCGGGAGCATCGACCCCCTTGGGTTTCTTCTCCTTCTTCGTCTTGGCGGGCTTTGCCTCGCCCGCCTCTGTCTTGGGGCCGAGTACAGCCAGCACCTGTGCATCCACCTCCTCCTGCTCGCACAGATGCACAGGTCCAGTCCAGGGTAAAACACAGCCGGCACCGCTCAGCACACTCTCAACGCACTTCTGTGCAGAGATGCAGAGACTGTCAGAGAGCACACTGTGAACCTTCCGAGGGTTCAGAGAGGGAAGAGCAAGGGTTCAGAGAGGGAAGAGCAAGGGTTCAGAGAGGGAAGAGCAAGGGTTCAGACAGGGAAGAGCAAGGGTTCAGAGAGGGAAGAGCAAGGGTTCAGACAGGGAAGAGCAAGGGTTCAGAGAGGGAAGAGCAAGGGTTCAGAGAGGGAAGAGCAAGGGTTCAGAGAGGGTAAAGAGGGTTCGGGGAGGGAGGGACCCACCTTGGCCAGCTTGCCATCCGCCCATGGCTGCAGCCCTCGAACCTTGGCGAGAATGAGACCCACTGCAGGGGTGAGATGGGGTGCGGAGGGGTGCGTGTGGGTGAAAAAGGGTGGGGTGAGAGGAGGTGCAAAGGGGTCGTGAGACGGGGTGAGAGGAGGCTCGAAGGGAGGTGGAGAAAAGGGTGAGGAACGAGAGCGGGGGAACAGGAGCTGGGTTGGAATGAGGAAAGCAGAAGAGTCAGAAAGCTGTTGAAGCAGAAACAGGCTCACCATTGAAACTGGATCTCTCCTCCACCAGCTTCTCTTTTGACTGCTGCTACAGCCCCACTCGCTACAGCCCCACTCGCTACAGCCCCACTCGCTACAGCCCCACTCGCTACAGCCCCACTCGCTACAGCCCCACTCGCTACAGCCCCACTCGCTACAGCCCCACTCGCTACAGCCCCACTCGCTACAGCCCCACTCGCTACAGCCCCACTCGCTACAGCCCCACTCGCTACAGCCCCACTCGCTACAGCCCCACTCGCTACAGCCCCACTCGCTACTGCCCCACTCGCTACAGCCCCACTCGCTACTGCCCCACTCGCTACAGCCCCACTCACTACAGCCCCACTTGCTACAGCCCCACTCGCTACAGCCCCACTCGCTACAGCCCCACTCGCTACAGCCCCACTCACTACAGCCCCACTCACTACAGCCCCACTCGCTACAGCCCCACTCACTACGCAGAGACACAACTCACAGTTGAAGCGGTATCGCCCCTTCACCAGCTTCTCTTTGCCCGCCAATACAGCCTCACTTGCTGGTGCCTTATTTCTATTCTTGAGTCGGCCCACAAATGACAGCAGCTGTTGAGGACGAGAAAAGCTCACCGTTGAAGCGGTATCGCTCCTCCACCAGCTTCTCTTTGACCGCCGTCACAGCCTCAGTGACTGCTGCCTTTATGTCCTCCACTGATACCTCCACGCCTGCAAAATCAACAGAGGGCGTGGAGATAAGACAGCACGGGTGACATAGAAGACTGTTTTTGAGACGGCTGAAAAACAGGAAGGGAGGAGAAGATCAGACAGCATAGGCGACATGATAGACACGCCTCCCACTCTTCCTGTCACACAAGAGCGAAGGTTTGGACGGCGAGCAGACGAGCCAGCATAGTAGTGCGTCAGTACAAGGGATGACATAGCATATTCCTCCTCAGTACAAGTACAAGGGCTGACGAGCACCTCGTATTCCTCCTCCCCTTCCCCACCTTCCCCCATACCTAAACCACCACTCTCCTCCGCATCCGGCTAGGCATTGCTCTGGCACTTTTGGGTCTGACCCACAGTCGCTCGCATTATTTGTGAACCTGTTTATTGAGCCGCCTCCAAAACCTCCATGTATGTACCTAGATTGATCATAGTTTCCAGTTCAGCAGCGCTGCAAGGCTCCTGGCCAGAAGTCGCCGGATATGGGTGAGTGTTTTATATTGTTTACAAGAACAGCCCTCCACGGCTCTCCCAGCTAGCACCCCCACCTACCTACTCCACTCTTTGCCTCCAGCTCAGCGGTGTTGAGAGGCTCCTGACCCACAGTTGCCAGATATGCGTTAGCTCCCTCCAGCTGAGGCACCGTCTTGATCTGTAATGGGGGCAAGTGAGTGGAGGCAGGAGAGAGAGTGGAGAGGATGCACCATGAGATCGCAGCAAGGGGTGATTTTACAGTTCAACGTCAGATAGGTACCACTAGCTCAATACGTGACTGCAACTGTACGTCAGTTTGAGAAAACCTCACCGAGGAAATCTCACAAGGAGTACACACGTTCTTCGAGGATGTATTTGGGAGTAACTTTTCAGAATTCTCAAAAGTCAAGTCCTTCGAGGATGTATATGTTATTGTAGGTGTACTTCAACAACCCCCAAAAAAGAAGTATTGCCTTGGTGTTTTAGGGTGTTCTCTGACAGATATTACGCTCACCTTCTGGGAAGTGACATAGGACAGCAGCGTGGGGCGGTGCACGCGCGCATTGGCAGGGAACTTGGTGGCAACCTGAGGAGAGATGAGGCCAGTAGCAGGGGACAGGGAAGATGGAAAGGGGATTTAGAGTCACTCCGATTCAAATTGACAAGGGGTGTGCATCGGGTTGGCGATGGGTGTGCATCGGGTTGGCAATGGGTGTGTATCAGGTTGGCAATGGGTGCGCATCGGGTTGGCAATGCGTGTGCATCGGGTTGGCAATGGGTGTGCATCGGGTTGGCAATGGGTGAGTATTAACAGGCACAGCGAACCTTGTGCAGCGGAACCCGCCATGGTCACAGCGGGTTCACCCAAAACCACCGTTGTGCACCGGGTTTCACACAACGGAACCCACCATTGCACATCTAACCCGTTGGATCGTGTGCAGCGGAAAGAACTCGCGGCATACAGCAATACGTGCACCCGTGGGATTGACCCACGCTAGATTCGGCGGAATGAATCGTGTGCGGCAAAACCCACCGTGTAGAGTAAGTTGCCAATGGCCTTGTCGCACCCGTCTTCGAGAGCTGCCTGGGAGGAATTTCAGGGAGATTTTCGTGAGAAAATGCGCGAAGAGGAACGATTCGAAGCTGGAAGTACTGCGATAGATTGACTGGTTGCGGATATATTGACGAGCAGACACAGAGACAGAGTGTTCAACACAATGCCCGAGATCAAGGATAACGGATAACAGAAGATAGAACCTGGCCACGGTTTTGATCCAGGCAACGGGTAACTGCAGGCAGAACCTAGGAGCGGCTGAGATCCAGGCGCTACACCTGGCTCACCAAATCTCAAGTGCTAGACACTGGGATCGAGGCAACGGTTAACAGTTCCTGAGATTTGTTGTTCTATCCAGCGAACTCGATCCAACCGCTTCGCGCAGGTTCGCGAAAGTCTCGTACCTCTTTGATCACTTCGACGAGGTTCGCGGTGACCTTGGCGTTCGCGACGGCATTCTGAGCGGTCTTTTCGTCCAGGCCAATCTTCAGAAACTTCTCAAGCGCATCCTTCGCTAAGGCCTCCTTGGCCTCCTTGTCAACCACAGCAGGAGGCATGATGGCTTGCTGACCACAACCTTGACTCGAAGAAACACCAACTACAGAAATAAACGTGGGAACACGGTAATGGTAATGAATACGCTGCAAAGAAAGATGGATGAAGGAAAGCAAGCGCGTGGAGGTAGCAAGGATTGGCTGATAACTGTGATCTTAGGTCGTAGGGCGTGATGCAAAGTCTCAAATTTCAGGTTCTTCTCTCTCTGCCCTGTGAGCCTGCTGAGGTGGTGTCGTATTCAGTATGTCGCATTTGACAGAAACGAAACCATTGTGCGGTCTGGTTCACGGGAATGCCGAAATGAAGACGAGTTCAGGAGGTTTGAGATCAGGGATTGATCGGTACTTCCCAAACCGCAGAGCTGAAGTTGTTTGGGTCTAGGGAGCCCTGCCTCGAGGCGAATCTGGTCAAAAACAACCAATCGCATCAGACGAGTTGGCAAAGCATTTCTGGTTGGCGGCTGGAAAAGGTATCCGTCCAATCATGGAAGCGATCAATTTTCCCATTCACGGGGTCCACAGATATCGATGTAATTTAGGAAATTTATTCAGGAATTCACATTAGGGCGTGTGTCTTTTGAAGTGTATTGTAAAGTTATATGTGCTATTTCGACTTTATGCATTTGAACCTTGGTCGACTTGTAACTGTCCAGAAAAAAAAAAAAAAATCCCTTCTCATTTTTGTCCTCTTTTTTCAGATCAAACACATGGACAAAAAAAGATCGCATGTCAAACGAAATTTATAAAGTAAATCCCGAGTCGCGCATAGGTTTCGTGGGTTACCTGGTATATAAAAAAAGAGTTCGCGACCGAATCCGACTTCGGTAACTCATTAGGAAGCAGTTCGTGTACGTCGCAAATTTTGCCGCTGCTTCGTGCGTGCGTTGAGGAACACACGATTGAAAAAACAATGAGGAAAAAACGAAAGCGAGATCGACCCCAGTTCAGTGTCATCCTGTTTTCTCAAACATTTTACATGGACACACGAACATCGTAAACATTGTTAAGGGAAATTAACGAAGTCGGTTACCAGCAAAATGTCGACATTTTTTCCCGAACGTCTACACCCAAAGACACACACCCTTAAACCTTCTTAATCGCGCTTGGTCACACACGTATTACGCATATTCAAAGTATGGTTTGTAGCTATCGCTTGTAACCACAATCATATTACGTTTCAGCAAACCTTGTCCCGTGTCGCTATCAAGCTTAGTCTCTTAATGAAAACATCACCAAAACATGAAACTTCACAAAGTTTTGTAGAGATTTCAAAAAAAAAAAACAAATAGCACACTTGATGAGAAACGAGAATGATTGAACTATAAAAGAGTAGGGTACAAGTACAAACCTTCATTGGGTTGTACCCCTTATGGACTACCCCATTACAGCCTACACAAATCTATAAGCTATAATGTTCGGACACACCCCCATAGGCAAAGTGGGTGAGAACAATGGATCACAAGACCAGTCAAGCAAAGCAAAGCAAGCTCAGGGTGGATCACAAAGTCACCACACAGTCTGAGCACAAGAGCAAGGCCACAAGGCCAGTTCACATGCAAGATCATACATATAAAGGTAAACGAGCAAGTGCAGGTATAGAAACAGTACAGTACAAACAAGATCAAGAGGTGAGCACGTGAGGCCAGGTAGGCACAAGACCTAGCAAAGTACAGAAACGCTGATGATTACAAGGCGAAAGGGCCTTGCTGAAGATATGAGAAGTATTGGCCTCAAAGGCCACGTGGGTGAGGCGGAGATGACCACGCTGCTGTAGCTCACGAGCCAAGAAGTAGCAGAGAGCAATGTGCTTCGTTTTGTGCTTCAGTTTGTGCTCCCGACACAAGGCCAGCATGGCCTTGTTGTCTACGTACAGAACTGGAGGAGAACGAGGCGGCTCTCCTAGGTCAGTCAGCAGGTAGGTGAGCCAGCGTAGCTCCTGTGCAGCCATGGCCCCTGCGTAGATCTCAGCCTCACAGCTAGAGCTGAGAACAGAAGACGAGCGAGTAGACCGCCACGAAACAGAGCTGGAGCCAAGGCTGAAGGTGTAACCCTGTGACGACCGCTGTAGAGCCTTGTCGTCAGCCCAAAAAGCGTCAGCGTGATCTGTGAGGACCACTCGACGTCGCCCTCCAAGCACTAGCCCCATACCCGACGTACTGCACACGTAGCGCAACACCCTCTTCGCTGTAGCCATGTGCTCTGGTCGCTGTCTCCCAGGAGCAACATAGCGTGCCAAGATGCTAAGAGGGAATGCAAGGTCAGGTCGTGTGCAGGTCATCAGGTACATGAGGCAGCCAACAAGCTTTCGGTACGGGCCACTTAGCTCTACGGACTCATCTGAAGGCAGAGCTGAGAGCGAGTGGCGAGTAGACGGAGGAGTGGCCTGAGGCGAGGAGTACGTGAAGCCGAAGCGCTGAAGGACCTGCTGCACCATGTGTGAATGAGTTAGGGTAATGGTGCGCTGTGCTCTGTCCCGGGTGATCTGCAAGCCAAGGTAGTTGCGCAGTTCACCCAAGTCTGTGCACGTATATCTCTTCTGCAACTCGAACTTCACATGGGCGAGTCGAGCAATGTCAGCAATGGCAAAGACCAAGTCGTCGACGTACACGAGGATGTAGAACGGCGGCACAGAGGTGTCGGTGCGCAGAAACAGCGACGGATCGGCTGTAGAAGGAGCAAACCCAAGAGCCGCAAGTGTAGTCCTCAGTGTGTCGTGCCACTCACGGGGTGCCTGGCGGAGACCGTAGACTGGCCTCCAAAGGCTCCACTGGGTACCAGGAGGAAACGACCCAGTGAAGCCAGGTGGGCGGCGCAGCCAGATCTCCTCATGCAAGCTGCTCTGCAAGAAAGCAGTGCTAAAGTCAAGAGAGTAAAGCTCGTAGTCGCGCTGAGCGGCTATGTGCAGCAGTACCTGAAGAGTGGTCATCTTCGGGGTGGGAGAGAAGGTCTGAAAGTCAACTCCCTGCCGTTGACTGAAGCCTCGAGCCACGTAACGCGCCTTGAAGACAGGCGGAGAACCCGGCGGTCGTTTCACCCTGAAAAACAACATGCCACTGAGGATGTTCGCCTCAGGTGGGGGAACCTCGTTGATGTAGGTGCCTGTGGACTTCTAGGAAGCCATCTCTGCGTCCATGGCTGACTGCCACTGAGAGGAGTAGGGACCCTCAATTGCCTTAGCGTACGATCGAGGAGTCGGGATGTGTGGTGCATCCGGGTCTCCCTCAGGGGCAATCAGCGTGGACACGAGATGGGGCAAAGCAGCAGCAAAACAGTGGAACTCCTCCTGCCTATCCTCAAGGACGTCCGTGCTAAGAGCATACTCACCCCCGACGCACGGAGGACAGACAGACTCAGACTCCGAAACAAGACTGGCAGCGTAGTCTAGACGACAGCGAGCAGCGTAGTCGACAAGCTCAGCAACTAGGGCAGACGCAGCAGTGGACGCAAAGGAGGGGTCTGCGACAACAGTAGCCAGGAGACGCGTAACTGAAGGACTGGCACCACGAAGAGAGTCACACTCCGGGTCAGCAAGAGTAGGAAGAGAGGACTCTGGAGGAGACGGCAACGAGACACGCAAAGGAGCAGTGGAAGGACGATGCGCCATCTGGCGTGTGCCTAGGACCGCAGGACGAAGCGGACGCGCAGTACGACCACTAATGCGAGCAGCACGAACAGGCGACCCAGGACGAGACGCAGGCTCACAACGCTCAGCAAGACCTCCAGTAGGACCAGTGGAGGGAGAAAGAGCAGGTAAAGGGGAGGCTGGCTGTAACTGTGACTGCAACTAGATAGGCTGTGGACACTCTAAGGGAGGAGCAGGACCAGTTGAGGGCGCGAGACCAAGAACCTGCTCCAGGAGCGGAACAAAGTACGGCCTCGGCCGCGCAGCGCCTCCAGAGCCAGCAAGGACTGCACCAGTACTCCCAGCGGCAGCACCAGCGCCAGCACCACCTCCAGCTCCAACTGTGCCAACTCCGGCACCCCCAAACGTATCAGCGCAAGAAGAAACACCAGTGCTAACACCCCCAGCAGCTCCAGCTCCAGCAACACCAGCACGGCCAGCATCTCCAGCAGGACCAACTCCAGTAGCCCCAGCAGCACCCCCAGTCCCAGAACCTCCATGACCGCCAGTACGAGCACCTCTAGGACCAGCAGCAGTAGTAGTACCTCCAGCTCCAGCAGCACGGCTCCAGTGGCGGGCAAACCACTCGCGCAGCTCCTGTGGAGAGAGTGGCTCCCGCCTCGACGAAGCACCGCCAGCGCCCACACGAGCTGACTGAGGCTCCGCACCCCCAGGCTCCGCACCCCCAGCCTCCACACCCCCAGCCTCCGCACCCCCAGCCTCCGCACCCCCAGGCTCCGCACCCCCGAACTCAGCACCCCCAGACTCAGCACCTCCAGACCCGGCACCCGCAGGCTCTGCACCTCTAGCTGCACCAGAGTCAACAGCTACCTCTACAGGTTCGACTGCATCTACCTAGGACACACGTGACGGGGCAGGACCCTGAGGGGGGAGGGGGTCTACCGGGGGAGGACCAGGCGCAAGGAAGAGCGTCGGCGGGGGGAGGGGCGCAGTGCGGTAGGTGAAGAGACGGTAGTAAGGCACCGACTCGTCAAAGGTGACGTCATAGGAGCACAGAACATGGCGCGAGGTGGGGTGGTAAAACTGCCATCCAGGCGCGTCAAGGGGGGAGCCAAGGAAGACGCAGAAACAGCACAGGGAGACAGCTTGTCCGAAGACAAGTCGTGGACAAACGCCCGAGATCCCCAGACCCGGAACGCAGACACATCGCCAACCTTCCCCGTCCACCGCAAGGCGGGGGAGGTCTCTGGCAAGGAGACCCGGGGCTGAAGGTTGAGCTGATGCGCGGCGTACTGAACCGCAAACGTCCACAGAAAATGGGGGGCAGCCGCATGCATCATGGACGTACGAGCAACGTCCATGACCATGCCAATGCGGCGCTCAACAATCCCATTTTGCTGTGGAGAGACCAGAAGCTTGA